ATCAGAAAGATCCGCTGAGTCACTTCCCGGACTGACCAGTCGATATCTGATTTTGTTAATCCTCAAGAACTCACAGCTTTTCCACGTCCCTTCGTAAGGTATGTTACCCAATAATTCTCACTAAACCTAACGAAATGATGAAATCCCTCATCGCCATAGATACCCGATCCTTTACAATAATTATCTTAGAGATACTGCAACGCAACTCTTGACCCCCACCTCTAAAAAACATTCGAAGCACAGTCCTATGACCATATCTGGGCATAAAAATTAGATTTCCGAAACATTTCCCTAAAACCCCACTCTCTCAACCGAGCTGACGTTTTGAGAAAAGCCAAATGGCCAAAAGACTTCTCGACGACCGACCCGCAGCCAGAGCAGAAGCTTCTCTTCAGCACCCCTTCAGGGTGTCCTAACAATCTAGCCTACTAGTGGCTTGGACAGATCAGTGTTTCTCCAGTTGTTAATTATTCTGTGCAACGATCTCGTGCACATTTCTGTACCATTGTGAGCGATCCAGCTGAAACCAGCTTCCTATTCTTGGCGCAGAACTTGGGTCATCCGCCCTCACCGACACGCAGCAATTACACTCTTCATTTTCGACAAATAGCATAGAACCAGCAGTAAGTTATTTATACTTTCTTTTGCCTGAGTGACCCCTTTCTTTTCATTTTTCTTCTTTTCTCCTCTCTCCTTTCTTTTCCTTTCCTTTCTCTTCCTTTTCTCGATCCCCCTTGGCATTCCTCCTCAACTGTGAAATCCGGTGTCAGTGGCCCAATCTTTTCGATCACAGTCGGACATAACGAACACGGAATTTTGCTCAGACCGCGATTGTTTATACATATATATATACGTACACATTATAAAATCCTACAAATTTGATTTCATTGTGAACTTCCGCTTAATCATCAATAAAACAAATTATTTGTAATTATAAGCCAATCACGTTTTCCGACTGATTATTCTCAACAAAAAATCTCCCTCCCCTCAACTGTCGCTCACGGTCCTATCCCAGGTAAAAGGATTCAGTTCCTTGACCTAAATAAAGGACCACCGACGTACGTCCGCGCCAGATAAAGGGGTCATTCCGATCCTTGATCTGCACCGCAGACTTGCGAGTACGTCGGAGCTCGTGAAAGCAAGCGTCAAGTTGCGTTCCTCCTCCAGGACATCTACTATAGATGGCTTTTCGTGGCGCTCGATCGTTTGCAAGGCGCTTGAAACGGAGAAACGTTGCTAAAATCTGAACTCTCATTCCATTGATTGGATGTAACTTAACAACCGGACATATGACGTCCGGTTTGACTCAGGACACTGGACAAGACTTCTGAAAACCTGACAGTCCGGGTCAAAACCGGGCAGTTGGCAGCCCTAATAATCCGCAGGCTTCTCTACTCCGCATGTCTCAACAACGAACTCGCGGAGGCTCGTACTTCCACAGTCGCAGTTAGACAACTAGTATAGTCTACGTATTCTCTCGTTTCACAGTGGTAAAGGGTGCGCGTGAAAAATCGCGTCCCGCCCTCGGAGAGAGGCAGGAGGAGGAGGAGAGAGAGAGAGAGAGAGAGAGAGAGAGAGAGAGAGAGAGAGAGAGAGAGAGAGAGAGAGAGAAGCGAAGGGCGAGAGTCTGAGAGTCGTTCGAACGATTTCCTACGGCCCTTTGATCGAAGAAGGAGGAACGCATAACGACGCGGCGTAATGAATAATGACATCTAGTCGGCGAAGGGCGGGGCCAACAGGTCCCACGCCGTCTCCTGCACGGCTTGTGCGTGCAGCCGTGCACGCACAAGCCCCGAGAGACCGCGGACTATCGACTCGTTTCTGCACGCTTAAGCATGCACATACACCCGATTTAAATGATCAGCCAGCCAGCCAGCCAACCAGCCAGCCAGCAGCTTTGTCGAGGCTGTCTCGACGTCTTCGCGCGATTCATGAATATTCGCATTCTCAAGCACGGTGATCCTCGTACATGCACGACGATATGAGGCAGCGTGCCTCCCCCCGCCACGCCGGTTCATCCCGAGGTCCTGGTGGACACGACTCCTGCGCGGCGCGATTTCTCTCCCTCCGAGAGAACGCAGAAACGTCGCGCGGTGGTAGGAACGTACTTTCCGACGGGATCGATTGCGCAAGGCGACGAGGAGAAACGCCAACGCGAGAATACGAGAGCGTGTCGATAATGAAATTGTAAATCCACCTAAGCCGTGCGCTCGCGATCGCATCGCGCCGGCCGTCGAATATGGCGTAAAAGCGTAGCGCGCGAGCCAGCCGGTTTCGTCGTTGACGTCTGCGTCGCAATAGCGCGCGAAATATCGCGGCGAGCGCGCGCCGCGCCGCGCCATTTCCTCGGGCGAAAGTGCGCCTTTCAGAGGGAGCGTCCCATCCGCGGATGCCCGACATCTCTCGCCCGCTCGGCGAGAGAAATGAGATATCGTTGCGTAACACGTAACAGTCTAATAGCGCATCGCGACCGGCGAGAAGAGGAATCGAGCACCGAAGCCGGCCGAAACTCTCGGCGGCGGCGGCGGCGACGAGGTAGACGGCGTTCCTCGAAGTCGCTTCCAGGCTCGCGATTGCCCTGCGCGCGCTCTATCCACGGCTATCACGTGCGTGCGTTCTCTACGTGCGCGCGGAGGATCGCAAATTGCGAGTACGCGAGATCGCCGTCGCTCGGAGCGATTCCTCGTGCCCGATCGGCGCTCGTTTCCGCGTCAACCGCTTTAACCCTTCGGACGGACGAACGCCGCCGCTACGGCGGCAAATAAATGAGAGACGCCAAATGCGAAGTTTAATCCCCTTAGAGGGTTGTTTCATTCTCCCTCATACAGGGAAATTTCATGATTTTGTCTCGTTCAACTTGTTAAATTAGCCGCCGCAAACAACAACTTTTCTCACTTTCATCCAATATATTCGATAAAAAGATATTCAATTGCATTTGTTTGCTGTTTTATTTCTAAAAATATATATAATATTTAAAATATATATAATAAATAATATATATAAAATAATATTCTAAGAATATATATAATAAATAAAAATAAACATATAACAATAAAAAATATATAAATTTGCACGCATATGACAGCAAAATGGCGTAATTTCCTTCGATGGCAGCTTTCGAAGCTTCTAATTCATCATCTTGTTTCATATAGAAAACATGCTCTCCTGCCGGGAAGATCAGATTCGTCCGCAAAGGATTAACGCGCGCGTTCAAATTAATCGCGGCCGCGATGTTTTTTCTCTCATTTTGCCCGCGCAGTTTCGATTTACGAAGGCGATTTACGAGGCCTCCTTAATGTCCCGCGCGCGTGTAGACAAATCCGTGGCCCGCGGTCGTGGCCTTCTTTGGTGCGACCACGTGGGCGCATTTACTTGCAACGGAATTGCAGCCACACTTACTCTATCTAGCGTCGGTGGTCGCCTCGACGTGAACGGAAACGCTAGCCGTGATCGGGCCCCGGCTGGGCCATCTGCTTTACGTAATTGTGCGCACGCGACGGCCGGGCTTGGATGCGGCTAACGCGCTCGGAAGTGCTCGGAAGGCTGCACCACCCGCGCCGCCCGCGGACAGCCGGCAATCAAGAACACGCAGGCGGATTGTCGTTCCCCGGTGAACCGTCCGAGAGACTTGCGCGCCGCGCGAACTCGACGTTAGCATCTCCGTTTCGAAGTCGAACCCTCGCCCGCGGCGCGGAATCTGCGACGTCGCGCGTCGCTTGGAGTCGCCGCTTTCACCGACTACCCTCCTGAAGATACGTGGGTTTCGATCTCTAGTCTGAGATGCAAAGCGCGACCGAGATCTAATTTCTCACGAGACGGATAATTTTTCTCATTATCGACCGTGATATCTCGTGCGTTCTTTGTAATAAATGCGTTTACATCGCGGGACCAAAGAGCGGCGCGAAGAGCAGGTGAGCAGTTCGGCGAGTGGAGTGGGCGCGGCGCACAGTAGGAGTTTTGCAATCAATCATACATTTGACTATATTATCCACGAATCGAAAGTAGGCTGTTTGTGTCTCAGGAAGCCGCGATGTTGTACGCTCGTCGTTGTGCTCGAGCGTATAATTGTAGCTTTGGCGACACGTCGCGCGCACAGAACGATCCGCGAGCGAACGGTGACAACCAGCACGTCGATTAACTCATTATCGAGCAGCTTTGCGAAACGAGTCCGCAGAACCGGACGAATGCAACGGTCGCTAATGGCCCGCAAGGTTGCGCAAAGTGTGTGTGTGTGTGTGCGCGCGCGCATGTGTGCACGCGTGCGCTGCTGTTTGTAATCTCTTAGTACCTCAATTTACATTCAGCGGATCTTCATATACATCGATTTCCACGGGGAGTCATTGCTTAAAAGGGTTTGATCGCCCAGATAAATCGGAAATGAACGTAATGGTAAATTGTTTCCTCCCTCACAAATTGCCTTCGTCCTGCAAAAGATTTTGTGCATACGAACAAAAAGCCCAGATTTTCTCCCAGATTAAGAAGACTAATAATCCCTGTCGTCAACCCTTTGCTGTATAATCACGATTATCGGATTCATTGCACAATTTACGGATCGAACATAAACAAAAGTCTCTTTGTCTCAATTCGCACGGGGCGAAAGGGAATATACTCATACGGCAAGGAATCAAGCCTCAGCTCGAAGTTCGCTTCGATCGTTCACGAAACGTTCCGTGAAGTATCGAGAGTATCATGTCGTTGATACGGCGATAACCTATACACCCAGCCGACCATGAATGGCCGACAGTACGTCCGGTTCGTTGACGATTCCCCGCGGCTAACGAACGTCATGCGCCAAGGTGCAGGATGCAGGATCGGCATAGAGCGTCAATTGTGCTGCGCGCGCGCGCGCGCGTGTTCAGAGGAGAAGGAGAGAAAGAAACACGACTCGAGCGCGATTCGACTCACGCGAGAGCGCCTACCCCCCATCCGAGGTCGAGCGCGTCCGCCCGCGCACTGGACCGAACGAGATGCGGCTCGCCGAGGGAGCCCGAAAGCCGGCGAAAGCGCACGAGCAGTTGGCTCGTACCGCGCTCGCGCGTCGCATCGCGACAGGCCGCGCGCGCTCAACCGTTCTCCCGGTGCTCGCACGCGCATCGAGAGAGCTACCTCTCTCGCTGTCGTCCTCGTCGAATTTCACGCCGTGCGCGCGTCGCGTCGCCGAGATCGTGTCTGCCAGCTGGAAAACACGCGCGGCTGCTCCTCGTCGTGCTCGTGCTTGTGCTCGCGCGAACGTCGCGCATCGTCCTGCCGCGACTGGAATCGCGACGGCGCGCCTTTTCAAAAGCACGCGCCCGACGCGTCGATCGCGCGCCGACTCGCTCGAGATCATCGAGACGCGAATTCGAGCGTGTTTTTAAAAATACGCGCGCTGTGGCGCCGCGGCAGTGAGAAGAAGAGTCGCCACTTTCCGAGGAGCGTCGCCGAGGGGAACGCCGTTCGAGGAGAAGAGCTGGCCGAGCGAGAGAGCGTCACGGCGAGTCAAGCGCCAGGTGTATGCAGTTCGGCGGACGATCGCGATTCGACGTCGAAACATCCGGAAGCGGAGCTGCCGGCCACGAGACGCGGCGCGGCGCGACGTGCAGACGGATCCTCGTTGATCGTGCTCGAAGAGCGTCGGATGGACCGAACGCGGGGGAGCAGCGTGAGCGAAGGCCGGTGCGCGCAGCATCCCTCGGTAAAGCGTCCGGCCGCGTCGCGGCACGTCGTCGACCGTTCCGCGTGTTGAGAACAACGAGACGGAGGAGCGGTCTCCGTCCGCGCACGAGGAACACCTTGAAGAGGCTCGTTATGGATCCCCGGCCGATGGTGAGAGAGAGAGAGAGAGAGAGAGCGAATCTGCCAATGCTCAATGAACCTTCGCCCCTTCTCGCGTTTTTCTCTCGCCGCCGCCGGCTTCTTATATCAGCGCATATTATCAATAGAGCGCGTCTTCCGAGAATCGTCTGCCACATAAGGAAATAGTACTTGGCCGGATTTGCATGCTTAGCGTCGCGAGGCGAGCCGAGGCGAATCGTTGAAGGCACTACTGAGTCATGTGTCTATCGCGAGTCGCGTTCCGCGAAAACTCGTTCGTGTCCGGGACACTGCTGTGTCGCTCTCAAGGCACGGAACGTTCTCAACGCGCTCTACTGCGCCGGTTCGCTTGTTATACACACATCATTCCCGCAGTCGTGTCGTTGGATCGATCGCAGCAACGACTCTCGCGGCGCTGCTGCCGTTGGAAAAGCGATTGTCTAATGTCTCGCCGATGGACGCAACTGCGCGCGAATTAATCATACGTCGGCGCGCGATTTTTCGAGAGCGCGCGTACGCGCAACCGATCGTATCGTACGAGCGCGAGCGAGATGATGAAGACATTTGTCATTATCGCGGGCAAGAATTCGATCGAGCCTGCAGCTCGCTATTATGTCATCAAGACTAATACGCACAATGGACGCGTAAGTATCGGGCGGCGCGTATCTCCGGCTCGTACTCTCATAACCGCGAACGGAATGATAATGGCCGCTCGTAATTTACGATCCCGGGAAAAGATCATTACATGATCTCGACGCGCTGACGCGGTCGCGCTCGTGCTCGCCGTTCGTCGCGCACGCTACGCAAAAACGACTCGGCTCTCGAAAATTGCCTACCGGCGACCTAACGCAACGCGAGCACGTTGATACGTTCGTTAATTATCGCGTCGCGTCGGCCCGCGAGGAGCCGCGGGATCAAGACGTCAAATCAATTGGTGTTCAGGGCCTTTCGCGGACTTGACAAATCGTCTCTCGAGAGTACGTTTCCTTCGGCTGATCTCAAGTCGACTCTCTCTCTCTCTCTCTTTCTTTCTTTCTCTCTCTCTCTCTCTCTCTCTCTCTCTCTCTCTCTCGAACATTGTCTTATTTTCCTCTCAGTAATATTTGCGAAGAATTATAATCTGAGGAGAAGCGGTACCGTGAAGAAATATCAAAGAAGAATGATGTCAGGGAAAGATAACAGAGAGGAGCGATATCAGAAAGGAATATCAGAGAAACCGAGACGGGGAGGGAGGGAGGGAGGGAGGGAGGGAGGGAGAGAGAAATATTCGATCTCAGATATGAGCGATCATTACCGCTCGCGCCATGTAGGGATTATTCTACGTGCATTCACTCCGCGACGACACAGAGAGCAGCTCAACAAAGGAGAACAGTCGTTCGTAGTCGGGTGGAAGGTCAAGATCGGGCTTATTCGCTTCGAAAATGGAAACTCGCGCTCGCGGAACGCCGCAATTAATCGCCGGGGGCCATCGTAACGTGGGACGAGCGACGCGTTCATAACCGCGCAGAAATAACCCGCGCAGGAATTTAACGCGCGAGCCGCTGCAGCCGAGTCGACGATGAGGTGTCTTTGGGTTAAGTACGCGGATAGTGATCTCGAGCGCGGCCATTAGCATAATCTTTTAACATGTCTCGGCGATTCTCCGCAAAGAATCCTCCTCGTCTCGTCGTCCTGAAAGTCCGGATTGTGCAGTCACGTACGTGTTCGCGTTAACGTGCATCGTCACCGTCGTCGTCGTCGTCGTCGTCGTCGTCGTCGTCGTCGCCGTCCTCCTCCTCATCGTCTTCGTCTTCGCGGCGTGCCGACTATTATTTCGACCTTACCGCGCATTCCTCTCCGCGATTACTACCTGGTTTTTGCTTCCTTCTCCTGCGCGAGTCCTTGGAACCGCGGATGAAGTCATTCCGAAGAGGGCAAAAGCAGCGACCGGCGAAATCTCGCGCGCACACGCGTTTTTTTTTTCTCCTGCCTTATTTTATCCTTCTTGCAGCCGATGCGCGATCGCGGTACCGATCTTTAAACGCATACTCGCGCGCGTCTGATAAACGAGCGTCTCAATGCAATTCGGACAGACACGCGCGGACGGACGTTTTTTCTCTTTATTGGACCTCTCTCTCTCTCTCTCTCTCTCTCTCTCTCTCTCTCTCTCTCTCTCTCTCTCTCTCTCTCTCTCTCTCTCTCTCTGTCGAGTAATGCTTAATAACGCACTACACGCGCTTTACGCGCGTGCATAAATCTTCCATAAATTACCGTAAATACATTCTAATTTCCGCGCGTGGGCACACGGTTATTATTGCGTCCTCGTGGCGTGCTTGTCGCGCGGGCTCTCTGTCTCTCGAAAAGCGTGATTCGTTGTCTCCGGGCGCTCGTGTCCGGAGGGACTTGCAACTTGCGCCATACGGGACACGTCCGAGCGCGGGATAATTTATGATGGCTTTCTTAAAACGATGGTCCCGAATGCTCAAGTGTGCGTATAAATGAGAATTGATTATGGCCCAGCGCGCTCGCGCTCGCGCGTAAGCACACCTGAGAGAAGAGGACGACGAGGTTGTTTAAGTCGGAGCGCCGGAGCTCTGATTGCCGGTCCCGATCGTCGGCAGGGGCCGACGATCGCCCCCTGTGTGCGCGACGTTCCCCAAAGATTATATAAATACGAGCGACACGGGCGCTGTGATACAGCGTCGCGGAGATTTACGACGATCGAAATGACAAGTGGACACGCCGGTGTAATGAGGCTTAAAGTGTCGTTTGATGTGGCCTGACTCTCGCGTAATGGCTCGAGCGAAGGCGCACTTGAGAGACGCGCGCGCGCGCGCCGCTCCTACAACGTCCGTGCGTTTTGTAAGAAAGTGCGACGATAATAAAGGTTTCACGCTTGATACTCGGCCGAAGCGGGGGGAATCGGCGCGCGGTATCGAAGATAAATTCGTAAAAGTTTCCTCGAGGGAGAGGGGGGAGGGGAGAGAAGTGAATGTCATAAATGAGTTCATCTGGTTCGTCGCGGTTTAAGAAAGAGATAGAGAGGGGGGAACGTGTGGACTCTCCCGAATCTCTCGTTCGCCTTCCATCGAGAGATTGCGAGAATCTTCACGTCGAGAGCGACCCTCGCGATCAATTAGGCGTGCCGCGGATAAATGCGAGCTAACGAAACGGCTCGGACGATGTAACTGCCTGAGCGGAATAATCTGTAAATCGCGCCATCTTCACGGACGTGCACGATCGAATATTGATCGCTTTGGAAAGTGCAGTGTCTCAAAAGCGACGGAGGAACAGTGCGGGATGATAATTGGCGTTGATAAATCAGACTCAACCCGCGATTACTCGCGCGATCGTGAGCGAACCTGTTAATTTACGAACTTTAACACCGGGAGGAGCGAGTATGAAGCGCGCACTTAATTATGCCGCGAATCATAACGGGCGTCCCAGGAGACATAAAAGTGTCATCGTGTAACGAGCACACACTGTCTTTTCCTTTCTTCCTTCTTTTTTTTCTTTTTCCTTAACCTTCGAACGCTATAAACACACTGTGAACGCGCGTCATCAATCTTTAAATGTTTATCCTGAGTAGCCTTAAGCTATCAAAATAGATAACAGTCACGCGATGATGGTAAATATTTATCACCAACTGTTCACGTCTCTTGGTAATTAATTTAAGATTTGCTTAAAATTATTCAATGTTTAAAGTTATTGGAGTTGGATTAGAGTTCCTATATGTCTACGAAGATTGCCTTCAGTCATGCGATAGTCAATTATAATATTGAAAAATAAGAAATTTAATGTTGTCAGTGTAATCATGTTACCGTTGTATGTGCTTCATTTTCAATGTAACTTAATAGAAGTAGAATATATATCAAAGTCATCGTACAACAAAGCTTTCCGGAACATAATCAGGCTTGCGAATTCTAAGTATCCAAGTTACAAACAAATTAATCTAATCAAGGTTTACGGATAGATTCTGCTCGCTTTTGAAATTTGCAACTGCGCAAAGATCTGTCATTTATTATTGATTTTCGCGACTCAGCTGATATCGACCAGCTGATTTTGATTACATATACTGACAGTAATAATAACAAATTTAGTAGCGGTAACTATAAATTTATCTGTCATTTTACAACGAATTAAATATCAATAACAAATTCTCATGGTTACATTCGAGCTGATTCGAATCTAAGCAACCCTGATTAAGTTTCAGAATATAACATTGAAATACTCGTATTTTACTTTCTCTCTCAGTTCAGATATAAGTCGGCTCAGATATAAAATTATCCTAACATTTTCGCAGTGTATAACTATTCTATTCACGTATTCTCGTCGGAAATCAATGCGTTTTACAACTACACATGCATTACATAATACGACGCTTTGTAAGCGTTCAAATTGGTCACTCACCAATTCGCGTTGATACCCAACGACGTCTAGCCGTCCAAACTCGCTAATGAAGTCCATCCTCCAGCGTACAGCTTCCATAGTATCCAGTCTTTGTAATGTCCACTTGTCGTCCCACATCGATTGTTCCTTATTCACTTCACTCGCTATTGCACTGCACTCGCGACCACGATTATTTTAACGACGCTTGGCGATTTATCGCTACGTACGACAGCAAATCCCAGTACTGCGAGAATACACTCGCGAATCGCGAATCGCGAATCACGTGTAAAAAGTTGCGAACCGACAGTCATTTTAACGGCCTAAGTAATCGCGAATTCTGCGTATAGCATATTTTTGACGCGCTTTGACGACGCTTGATAGTTTAACGCAAAATAACATGATGTATTTTAGTGCTGCAAAAATATATTCGCGAATCGAGAAGCGCATATAAAAAATTGCAAACTGGAAGTCGCGGCGTTTTTGGCGAAAAAGATCGAGAAAGAAAAAATTCGCGGATAATATTGTCTCGTCTAAGAATGAGATATTTGTTTTTTTTAGGACTCTAATCTTCAATAGAAATGACGAATATACGTGTCGAATTCAGCTATAATTCCATAAACGCGAGATAATATTAAAACTCGTTA